CCCCCCCCCCCAAGCCTTGAGTGGGTCACTCCCAGCTCCATCCGTTTGGGCATCAAAGGTTCTACCCTCCTTGTGGCAGAGCCAGCCGGTCCCACCTTTTGGGGGATGCTCAGAATGCCCAGGCAGGTGGAGGGAAGGGTGACTCCAAGTGGTTGCCAGCTCAGGGAAGGGCATAAAGCTTCCCCACCCCCCAAATTAAAAAAACAATCGGGGGTGAGGAGGTGGGGGGAGCAAAGCAAGCAAAGCATCCCCCTTCCTGCAGTCTGGCTTCAAATAGCAAAGCAGGGCAGACTCCCATCGGAAGACACCGGTGCAATCTCTGTTGGCCTGGTTTCAAATGGTGCAGGAAGGCACCTGTTCCCTGGGAAGTGGAGTCCAGAGACACAGGGAGGTTTGCGAGCTGCAGGAAACTTTGCTGCTCACCCGCTCTGGATTCGGAGCTGCAGCCAAAGAGGAAAGTAGCTAATTACCTAATTACCATGTGGCTTTGTGGGTTTTATAGCATGATGCTGGAAATGTGATGCTCTCGCCAGAAATGTAACCCTTGTCTGGCAGGAAGGAATTTGTTGCTGGAGGAAGGTGTAGGCACAAAGTCCAGAGGCTCCAAGAGAATGGTTTATCTTTCCTGACACCCCCATTGCCACCTCCCCATCCCCAGGTGTGTCCCCATGGTGACGCCACCAGAAGACACCCTTTCAGTAAGGACATCCCAGTGACTGTGAAGGTTCAGATACAGCTGGAAGAGGGTCAGGACAGGCTGAGACTGAACAACAGGGACCTTTGTATGAGGGGGTAGATGATGGGACTCACAGGAGGTCAGTCTGGTTGTCTGAGATGCTAGTTTTTATTCCTCCTCTGAGCCATTGTGGCATAATCTCTGGGTATTATTCCATTCTACCATGTTGCCACGAAGGTGTCCCCTGTGTCAGGGTGAGGACACTCAGGCCTCCCCCAAAGGCCATGAGGCATGATGAGGTTCAGCCTCTGGCTTTCCCTGTGCCATGGGCTCCTCCCAGGTGTTAGCACCGAAGGTTAAAAAAAAGGGTGAAAAGGAGAGGGATCCCATAGAGACTTGCTTGGCTTGGGAACAAGAGTGTGATTTCATCTCTGTGCCTTTATCTTTGTACCCAACCGTTCCCTGGAGCTGCCACGGCTCATTGCACTTTGCGCCCTGCATCCTGTTTGTGTCTCTTGCCAGACTTGCCCCCAAGTTGGTTCTTGACCTTGGCAGGTCCATCTTTTCCCAGCCAGCTCCAAGGGTTGCAGAGCCCATCCCTCCATGGTGCTTAACTCAGCCTTCCCATGTCCCACAGGCCACCACCATGGTGTACGTCACCATCCTGGACGAGAACGACAACGCTCCCGCTTTCCAGCAGCAGCTGTACGAGGTGACCCTCGATGAAGGTCCTGACACCCTTAATGCCACCCTGGTCACCCTCCAGGCCCTGGACCAGGACGAGGGACCCAATGGCACGGTTGCCTATGCCATCACCGAAGGCAACATCTTGGATACCTTCCACATCGACAGCACCACGGTCAGTAAGGACTCCGGCCCCACCCTGTGGCCCTGTGGGAGCCACCCCAGTTCCCTCACTCCTGGCCACACTGTCCCGTTGCCTTGCAGGGGGAGATTCGCACGGTGAAGGAGCTGGACTATGAGATCAGCCACGGGCGCTACACCTTGATCGTCACCGCCACCGACCAGTGCCCCGTCATCTCGCGCCGGCTGACGTCCACCGCCACGGTAGGGAGGGGGGCTGTTGCAACACTGTGGCCTCTTCGGGGCTTGAGGACTTCCCGCTCACACCAGCAGTTTCACATCTCCTTCCCGGTGGCCACCAGTCGCTGTTCCCAGCAGTGGCCAGTTCACCCAGTTGCTGTCACCCTGCTCCTTCATGGGGTTGCAAAACAGGGACACGGGCAAGTGAGGCTCGTGGGTTCATTAGCCCAATGATTTGGTTCTGCAAAGACACAGAGAGAAGAAGAAATCCCTAGAATTGCTTTTAAGTTGCATTATTTTGCTTCTAGAGGCCTCCTTGGGTCTTCTTGCCTGAAAGATCAAGAGACAGTAAAGAGTTGGAATTTCTGCTTCGTATTTATCTTCTCAGATGATTTATCTGTTTTTAAAATTCCTTTTTCATCCCTTGTATAGAAGTTATTTGAAGTCCCTGGTCATTTTTCTTGCTTTTCTCTATAGCTCTTCCATTTGTCCTTGGGCCACAGTGACCTGAACTTAGTGCACTAGTCACAGTGGTGGGAGGGCAGGCTGGCAGCTCCAAAGCAGATGGAGTTGATTATACTGATTATTTCTGTGATGGAAACCAAAATATGATGGGTCGCTCAGCAGAATTTGTCCATGGCCAGAATGATTTTGGGGCCTGCAGGTGGAAGGGATTGGTTAGATCTTCTGCCTTGGCTCCCTAGCATGGACCTCGTCCAGATATTGAGCCAAGCATTTTTCAGCCCCCCAAAAGGAAGTGGGTTCTGGTGTGCAATGAAAAAAAAAGGGGGAGATACCAGAGTGGGAGATTTCCATGGATAAAATCTGTCTCCACAAGGCTGGCAGAGCTGTACTCCATGCATGGGCAGATGAGAAGCCTTCAGATGTCTTCCTGGCCCAGGAAAAGTGCAGCAGGAACCTCAAGACCTGGAGTTTAAGACGTGCCAGTGTTTGTTTTCTCCACTGCTTGGAAACAGAGCAGAGACTCAGATAGACTCTTCTGTATATATTAGATTAAGCCAGTAAGAAATGCCCGTCAGATGGATTTTACTGTCCTTCTACCCAGGAGGTCAGAAAACTCCATATTTTCAGTATCTTTCTCGTGGTATGAGATACTAAGAGGGCCAACATCATTGGTGATGTTTTGCGTTGGAGTAAGGACAGAAGCTGCAGGTGTTTTAAAGTTGCTCAGCATTAGGAATGAAGGTGGAGGAAGAGGAGTGAGCAAGTGTAAAGGGTCTCTCTGAACTCATGACTTCGGTGGTTAAACCCATGTCTGTGGTTTTCTTGTCTTTCCAGCTTGGGTTTCAGGATGTGGATGGAAAATATTTGGCTTTTGCGTTGACTTCTCCATCGTGGTGCATGGCCCTGAGGTTGGCAAGAACCCCACCTGTGTGTGGCCGGGGTTTCACACTGTCACTGTGTGATGGGAATGGTCAGGAATAGCTGAGCTTGCACCTATGAGCTGGTTGTTGGGTGAACCCAGCAAAGACAGAAGTATGGGAGGTATTTTGTGATGGCTTCCCAGGCTCACACCCAGTTGGCTGGTCTCCCCTTCCACCCCTCCCCTTTTCATTGCCCTCCACCCTCTCACCCTGACCCACAGGTGCTGGTGAACCTCAACGACATCAATGACAACTGTCCCACCTTCCCTCGGCCGTACGAGGGTCCCTTTGATGTCACGGAAGGGCAACCTGGCCCACGTGTCTGGACCTTCCTGGCCCACGATGGTGACTCGGGACCCAGCGGGCAAGTGGAGTACAGCATCATTGCTGGAGACCCCCTTGGTGAGCAAGGATGGGGATGGGGGGCATCACCTTTTCTTCTGGCTGCCCTGTGGAGGAACCCAGCTCACGGGAGCTGGCCCGGGAGCGCGAGGCGGAAGCGTTTCAGCAAAAACCATCCTCCCTGCACAGGAGCTTCTGCAAATTTAGCCTTTCAACACCAGGAAATCCTGTTTTGAGCAACAGGAAACTTAACCTCTTCATGGCCAACCAAGGAGGTGGCCGGGGCTTGTGCAAGGGAAGGGGACAAACCTGCTAAACAATCAAGGCAAAACATTTTAAAATGGAAAAAAAAAAACAAACACAAAAAAACCCAAAACAAAACAGATGGCAGAAAGAAAAACCAAGAGCTGCAAGTGCACAGCCCTGTCCCCCTCCCAGCCCCATGGTGAAGCTGTAGCTGTACCCCACCAGCCTCACCCCAGAGCAGGTGGCAGAGGAGCATCTCCAGCCGTGGGAAGGTAGGGGCTGTCCCTCTGTCCAGGTTACCTGGATGGCAGAGCCCAGTCCCATCTCCACGCTGACCCTGCTGCAAAGCTGTTCTAGAATAACCAGGATGCAGCCGGGGGGGGGGGGGGGGGGGGTCTGTGCCCCCCACCATGCTCTGGCCACCGTGGGGCACAGTCAGGTTGTTGGCACCTTCAGAAAGGCCCAACCATGGACTGTGAGCACCTCTTATCTGGCCGTTCAACCCCTGCACTCCCCGAGATAGACCTCAGCTGCCCCCTGCCCTCCCACATCTGCAGCAACGGGGACTCTGGGGAAGCTGTCCCCAAGCCCACCAAGGTGCCTGCCCTCTATCTCTGAAGCAAGATGTTTCCCCCCTGGGGAGCCAGGCCGTTCACAGCAGCATGGCCTCCCTGTCTCTGGCAGGGGAGTTTGTCATCTCCCCGGTGGAAGGGGAGCTGCGGGTGCGGAAGGACGCCGAGCTGGACCGCGAGAACATCCCCTTCTACAACCTCACCATCGCTGCCCGGGACAGGGGTGTGCCCCCTCTCAGCTCCACAGTGAGTCCCCTGGGGCAGTCTGGGGGCTGCTGGCTGCTGTCCCCCATCCCAAACTCCTCCCCTGGGGTCTATTCTGCTTTGGCTCCTCTCC